GCCAGCCCAACGTAATTGTGATTGCATAATGAAGGTCTCGATGGTATAAATCAAGGCTTGTTCAGATTGTATGAACACAACCTTTTATATATATATATATATATATATATATATATATATATATATATATATATATGAGGTTTGGAGGTGTATGTATTTATTTTCAGATTGAGTGTATTTGTGAAGGAACAAAATAAAAAAAGACAAGTGGGAAAACTATTTATATCCGACGCCTTAAGTTTTCCTCTTGTCTCTTTATATATATATATATATATATATTTAAAAAAAAAGACCACTTTAAGGTACCATTATAATAATTTATTTCACCAGAGTCCTTTTAAAAGGACGCCGGATCATCAGATAGCACTTCCAACAACGAAATGAAACGAAAAATGAGTTTAAAATTGATGGGTAGTGTAAGTTTTTGTAATTTAACAGGGGGTGTGAGAGGGATAGTTAAAGAGACTTGGTAGAGTATAGGGAGGGGTTAATTTCATATCTCTCTCAAGTGTACTTTATATTGGGGTAGGAGGAGTGAGCAGACCTTAACCCATTTAGATGGTTAACTTAACGGAAATGATATATAGAAATGGGAGGGGAGTAGGGAGAAAAGAAAAAGGAAAAATGAAAAAGAAAGAGAAGACAGAAAACAGTAATATAGATATATACAAATGAGTGTTACAGCAAGAAGAGAGGGAGAGGGAAGTAAATCGAAAAATTTTAAAAGGACTCTGGTGAAATAGATTATTATAATGGTACCTTAAAGTGGTCTGTTTTTCTTTTAAATATTAGCTCTGGATTTACATTGAGTTCTCAGGATTTCATCCTACTTGTGATTACCCATACGGATTACCAAGTTCTTCATAACTTAACTATATATATATATATATATATATATATATATATATATATATATATATAAAGAGAGAGAGAGAGAGTGAGAGAGTGAGAGAGAGAGAGAGAGATAGTAAAGGTAATAAATCCGTTGGTATATAATCCAAGTGGATCCTAGTAATATAAAATAAAAAACTGATCCACAAAAAGAGATAAAGAAAGTTATATACCAATCAACCATTTCCTCCAAAGAAAAATATGTTAAAATGTCTACATTGGAATTTCCGCGAGGGGGCGTGGAAACAGAGATTTTATAACCATAGGCACGCTTTTACCAAAACCTAAATTAAAACACCAGACAACTCTTTCAAAAAAAATTTGGGTAATTGAAGTCGAAAGATCTGAACTCACAGATAGACTGAAAAATTATAGGCTACGCACATACTTCTACTAGTCTTAAAGATAGGTGTTACTTATGTTTAAAAGAAAAAATAGAATAATAAAATAAAATAATCAAAGCAAACGGTTATATCAAAAGGAATGATTTAGTTTTAAAATATAGACATAAAAACAAATTTAAATTTCCATCATATAGATTTTATTTTATCTTATATTTTTATTTTTAAATATATTTTTATATTTATCATAACACTTTTTTATTAATTATATTTTTAAAAATATATTCTTACTTAAATTTAATAAAAATTATCTAAATATGACATATTTTTAATTCTTTACATATATCTTATTTCTAAGTATAATTTATTTTTGGAAGAGTATTTTTAAGTAGAAACTTGTATTTTTAAACTTAAACTTATCTATATAATTTTTTTTTTTTTTATAAAACACCATTTTTCGGTCCTTAGTTTCAAATTAACGCTTCATTCTTCATATAACCCCAGTTTAATATCATAAGATTAGTATCTGGGTTTAATTTTATAAAAACCCTCCCCTTTAATGCTAATACCTTCCACCCTCCCCTGACCACTATCTCGTGCCTTTCGTCTGATTGAAACATTGAAATAGATAAAATCTATATTAATTTTTCGACGACTGTCACAGTTAAATTTCTAATTCCGACATGAACTCAGTCATCGGGGTGGAATAGGACTTACAAAGTTTTCGTCATTCCCCATATGAGGTAATTTGGGATTTTTCTGGTCGTTGGATTTGGTAAGGTAATCAAATCTTTCTAAAATACCAATGTATTTTCCTTACAACAAGGTTTGTCGTTCATTCTAACCTGAAGAAGCCGAACTTAACACCCGTAACGTCGGTGAAAAGCTTCTTTTAAAAGCATTTGCACTTTGTCTTATTATCTCCCCTTTTGTTTTGGATACTAATGCACCAACAGTAAAAAGAAACATGTTAATAATAGTCTCGAATTCGGTCAGATTTGGTTTGTTTTGTTTTACGGCATATCAACCTCAATCCCGACAAGATTTTTATTGCTGGTAATATTTTTTCAAAAATGTATCGCTAATATATTTCTTTCTAAAAATGTATTGCTGGTAATATATTTTTCCTTCAAAAATGTATTGCTGGTATTCAAAATATGTTTACAGTTACATAATATTTTGACCCTAGTTTGGTGGTTAAGTATTTGCCCATTGCTGGGACCTTCACAGGTGCTTTTTCCCAAAATACACTGCTAGTAATATTTTTTTCTTTTAAAAAAAGTATTGCTGATATCTTTCCCTAAAAGTAGACTACAGGTAATTTTAAAAAAAATATATTGCTTGTAATATTTTTTTCCGAAAATGTATTCCTGATAATATTTTTTCCAAGATGTATTGCTGGTAATAATTTCTTCCTTCAAAAATTCATTGTTCGTAATAATTTTTAACAAAATATTAACTGGTATTAAAAACTATTTTTTTACACTTTTGTAGTGTTTTGAGCCCAGTTTGGTGTCAACTATTTACCCATGGCTGGGACCCTACCACCCCTGGAGACACCAGCATTTAAGAGGTGGTTCCACGCCCCTTAAAATCTCCTGATCAGAGGCTTTGCTATTGGATGTAGTTTATCGTCTTACCCCAGGACGGGGATGTAGTTTATCGTCATCCACGGGATCCCTTGTATTCGGATTGACGATAAACAAATCCATTGTAACGACGATCTCTCTCTCTCTCTCTCTCTCTCTCTCTCTCTCTGTCCTCGAACCATAAAAAATAAACAAAGAAAAAAGATCATAGAAATCAGTAGTATTGGGTAACTAAAATATAAATCGATTTTTCTTTTTTTTTTAATAGAGAAAATGGTCCAATGAATACGTTTTCGAGCGTGCTTATTTAGATAGACTTACATTTGAAAAGGCCCGAGTTTGTTTTTTTTTTGGCTTCAGCATTCATGTCGAAAAAATCAGATTGTCCCTTTCTTGCCAATACCATGAGCGTTCTTTCGCTAGACATATTTTGTATTGCTTTTGTTTCCAGGAAGATATTAAAGATCCATGTTGCGATTATTCTTATTTCTTTCTTTCTTCACAGATTGTTTTCATTCTCTTATCTAGAGACAAATTTTGGAATTTGGTGGTGGTTCACTCGTGATCCCCCAAATTAAACCCGGTATCAGATTCACCCAAACGGCATGATAGCCGCAGAATATAAGATGAAGTCATGATTCAAAGTTTGATTCAAAGAGCATTCCCTAATGTCCTGTAGGAAGATTTTGAAAAATAGATAAACTGTAGAAATATATTTTACTAGGAAACCAAATATTCAGAATCTATTTCAGAAAAGATGCAATAACATTATTAATGATACAATAGTTCGTGTGGTAGTGTCGAAGGTTAACTGGTCATTGTTCTGGTTATGACGATAAACTATATCCGGCAGCAAGACTTCTGACCGGGGGTGGGGGTGAGGAGCGTGGAACCACCTCTTAATTGTTGCTGTTTCCAGGTCCACCTTGACCCGGGGTTGTAGCACCTGTTAGGGCCACAACTATGGGAAAATAGATAACTCTCAAACTGGTGTCAAAACACTATGAAAGTATTAAAAATTTATAGTAAAAATACCAGCAATACATTTTCACAGTAAAAATATTACCAGCAATACGTTTTTGTGAAAAAAAAAAAATTAAAAAAGAAATTACTAATGATCCCCAGATAATTAAATTTCAGCATTAAATGACCCCTAAGGAGTTGATATGACGCTAAACAAATAAATAAAATTGACTGGTGATCAAAATTACGTTTAAGGTGAGAAATATATTTTTCTATGTAAAAAAAGGAAATTCCTTTAATGAATTTAAAGAGACATATCACTTTTAAAGGTAAGAAAGGATTTAGCTGAATTAGGCGCGATTACTTTCGAATAGTGTGAAGTAGCAATTGGAATGATCGAGTATGTTGACAAGCAGTTTAGCTGACAGGTGTTACCAGAAAACATCCTGATTCAAAGTTTACAGAATTGTTTTGGAATCCTTTTGGTAACAGGGAAACTGGAAAGCTTAATTTGAATATTACTGGCACTCGTGCTATCACTATCATTAATTATTAATTTTTTTAAAGCTTAATTCTCTGTTGGCATTTAACTAGGAGGTATTTGATTGCCTAATAGAAAAATATCATATAATCGTGGACCTAGCTTCTTTTCCTATGAAAACGATGCTGAAAGACTGTGGAAAAGGGAGGGTGTTTTCGAAATAACTGACAGAGCTAATAAAGTCCATTTTGACGCCTTACAACCGGAAGAGACAACTTTACAGCCCTAAACCAGCCACATTCCTCAAGTCACTCCTCACTGAAGATATTCTCCTAAAGCTATCTCCATTCAGTCTAAACAAAGGCAGTGGGCGGATTAACTGCCAGTTAGAATCTCATTTTAATCCTTCCAACTGATCATTTCCACTATATTTTTCTTTTCTTTATTTGTTCGATATATGCTGTGCAAATATATATATATATATATATATATATATATATATATATATATATATATATATATATATATATATCCAAGTACTCTTAATCGGTGTTATTTCCAGGTTCTATTTGCCCATAACTGGGACCCAAACAGGTGCTACCACCCAGGATCAGGATGAACCTTGGAACACCAGCAATTACGAGATGATTCCAAGCTCCTCAAAACTCCTGATTAGAAGCTTTGCTTTTGGATGTAATTTATCGTCTTACCCAGGACGCCTGAATTTCATTTAGCTTACGGTCATATCACGTTGAAACACCGGAACGATCACTGAAGTTAAGCAACGTTGAACCTGGTCAGTATCTTAGATGGGTGACCATTTGGGAATGCTAAGTGCTATAAAATTGGATGTGCAGGTGGTGTAATGGATAACAGCACTGAATTGAAAATCGAAGTGCCCAGTTCTAATTCCAGTCTGTTACATTCATTTACGTGCAAATACCCTTGGTGAAGGTATGAATCAGTCTCTTCTCTCAACTAAGCGTTAATTAGTAGGACTTGTATAAGTAAAACATTATTAGCTCTAAAACGCTGCTTGGTGGAACAAACTCCCATGGGGATGCTTCCCTGAACGCTACAATCTTAACCACTTCATATCAAGTCTCAATCTTTATCTCTATATCCGCTTAATTCTTACTGCCCACATCTTACTCTTACGCCTCATCCAGTCGTCATCTATCGTGAGTGTCACTTGAACTTTGTATAGGTAGTTCAAACTTCTGGAACAAATGACAAAACACAGAAATAGACAATAGCAACACAGGAGTAAAAGAAAAGTCAGTCATTCATTCGGAGGCCATAAAATCCATTTTACAAAAAAAAAATCACTTTTTTACTTGCCATGTTCAATGATCGACTATGTTTTAATTCACCTGTCATTGATAAAAAAAAACAAAAAATTGTTTCCCCTTGTGTTCCGTGTTTTCCAGTGTCAGCTGCCAGTGAGTTTAGTGGGGGCAATAAGAAAGAAGTCCGCCCTTGAATTGATTTTGTCAATGGACCGTGCTTTCTATTGATTTGTGAGATACTGTATAAAAAAAAAGACTGTATAAAAAAAGACTGTATAAAAAAAGACCGTATAAGAAAGACAAATCTGAAACCATGTAAAGGAATTGGTTTAAATAGAAGATAGAAGATGCAAATAAGATTTTCTTTGACGAAAGAATTTGCTTCAAAATGTGTTTCCTTATTTCCTGGTAGAATTATTTCAGGAGATGTTTGAAATGTATGATGAAACATAGAATTATAATTTGATGAATGAAGAAATTGAGTGATTTGTTTAAATTCCAAAATTCTTTAGAATTTGTTTGGTTCGCTCTCTCCCTCTCTCACTCTCATATATATATAAGACATTTTTATGTTTAACATTCTTTTTATAATAATTGTCGGTCTTTGTCCATTTCATAATATATATATATATATATATATATATATTTGCGTGTGTGTCTGTGTCTGTGTGTGTGTGCTTGAAAAGACGAAAGGAAATTTGTAGTCGACGTGTTTTTATCTTCTGTGGGACTTTATCAATGCAAATGTAAGAATATTATTATGTTTGTCTGTCTTTTCGGCCAAACCGTCTTTTTCCTCAGCCTGATGAATATCCATGAGCAGCCAAAATTAAAACAAACCAATAACATTTTACTCTTGCATAGAAATAATTGCCCCCAAATAAAATCCTAACATTTGAATTGATAAGGACCCTCGGAGGTCGAAACACAACCGTTAGATAAGTTTTCCTTTTGTCTTTTTTCCTATTGTCCTTTCACTCAGATACCCTATAAGAAATTTTTACATACGCACCCTCCCCGATCCCCATATATATATATATATATATATATATATACATATTTTAATCGACCATTTACATTACTTCAAGCGTTGTTATAGTGGAATTGACACTTCGTAATTGAAATAGACACACACACACATATATATATATATATATATATATATATATACATATATTATATATATTATATATAATATATATATATATATAAATATATATATATATATAATATATAATATATATATATATATATATAATATATACATATATATATATATATATATATATATATATATATATATATATATATATATATATATATATATATATATATATATATATATATATATATATATATATATATATATATATATATATATATATATATATATATATATATATATATATATATATATATATATATATATATATATATATATATATATATATATATATATATATATATATATAATTATGTTTTATAAAAAAAATTATAACATAAGTATGTTATAAAATCACTACAAAATAGCCATTTTGTTTCAACACACTCTGTGTCTTATCAAGTGATGATGTTGAAAAGAAAATAAATGGTTTTAAAAGTTTCAGATTAATTAACGATCCTTAGGGGGAAACATTGTTACAAAAGCTAGAATAACCAATCAAAAACGAAGTATAGAAAGATTCAAAAGCTTGATAACGAAATCATGTTATAATAGCTATTCAGATCTTTAAATACGTGTAATATTAAAAATAATTTATACTAACTAATAATTATAAAATTAAATGATAAAATTTAATATTAAAATTAAAACTGGCAATTTTTAAATCCAAATTTAATCACTATTAAGTTTAAAACTACAAAATTATTGAGAAAAAAAAAATATATATATATATATGAAGAAATATAGTCTTAAGATGTGCTATATTTATGGGATAAAGTGATCAATATCAGAGATAGAGCGTGTGTAAATATGAACATAGGCACTTAGATGCAATCGTCAGGCCCGACGATTGCATCTAGCATGAAACAGACTGTCAGGCCTCAGTGTTTGCATCTATTTTCACATTTATATATATATATATATATATATATATATATTACATATATATATATATATATATATATATATTTGGTGTCTTTTATTACTGTTCATTTGGGGCAGTTTAAGTTTGCGAAAACAATATTAGTTACAACATGCAACTGATACATCCCCAACTGGAGGGGGGTTAACAATTTGAATGAGGGGGGTGGCCCTTAAACTATTTACTATTTAATTTAAACTATTTACTTTTATTTAAAGTTTTTTGAATGATATATGTCCAAGAAGAGATAGTTAATAGTAAAACGTTGTTGACTGTTGTAATGGACAGGAAGTAGTGGAGAGCCATTGTCGCCAACAATTTGGACTCAAAACCAGCACTGAAGAATAAACTATCAAACAAACAAAAAAAAATCGAAATCGGATGAAAACTGGAAATGCATAAACAACAACCGTTCATATACATATTTTGAGAATTTTACACACACACACATATATATATATATATATATATATATATATATAAAAATATAAAAATATAAACAAAAAATTCGAGGGTTTTTCTAAACGAGTATAGTTATCTCTCTCTCTCTCTCTCTCTATATATATATATATATATATATCTGTAAAGACAATATAAATAATCGTAAAAGAAAAGGAAACAAAAGACAATACAATGCAAAAGGAAAACAAATTTCTGCTTATTATTCACACATAAATGCACACGCATATAAACAAGGTGCGATTGGTATTTTTAATTTCCCTCATGCGCGTTGTTTGTTTTTGATTTTGTCGACTGCACAATGTAGTAGGGTCAGTTGGGCCACCGTCTGTGAGAAAAAAAGCAACATGACTTAATTCACTCTGCCAGAAATTTGGAAACGACATGCTGTACTGCTTAACATTCACGCCGAATTCCAGAGTGTTTGGATGTCAAGTATCAGTGCAGATGATTGCAACAGAGTTGAAGGAGTCTAATTGTGATTACGAAGGTATTTGGAGTGAGCACTAGTGTTGAGGACGTTATGCCTCCATTCATCTTCCCACAGGACCTCAGAATCAACACAGAGGCCTATATGAAGTGCCTTGAGTTCAACAAGTTGTTTGCTGGAAGACCCTATGTCGGGCAACGTGATTCTGGTCATGCCACACAAGCAGAGGACAAGATTTACCGTGCATGGAGTCCCGGTGGGGATAGGCTGGGGGCTTTTTTTAGCCAATACGGCCTTGTGGATGAGGCGACTGTAGCGACACTCAGCAAGGCTGGAATTGCCACTGGAGATTTCGTCCTGCAGGTTACATTGACGAGGAAGTTTTGTACAGAGATTCCCAATATTTTGATATATCAGGACAAAATGATGCTTGTGGTCGAGGATTGCTTGTCCCTACTGCTGGGCTGGTGGGGCTTAGGAACATTCTCACAAGCGTCTCCTGGCATAAAAAAACAACAACAAAAAAAACACTACTACAGTCTAGCCAAATAGCAGCAGTGGAAACAACAGATGTGTCTGGTAAGACTCCCGATGGTGTTTGGTGGGGGAGTTGTCAAAGAAGGGACGAAAGTCGTCAAGCACTACCCCTCAACAGGAGGCCTCACAGCAGCAAGAACAACCCCAGCTCTTACCACGGCCGTATTTATTTCATCCTTTCCCTCTACCTTAGTGAGAGAGAGACTCCTGATTTTGTCTAATGGTAGAATACAGTTGCCTCTTTTGAGGCTTGGTCGGGTCCAACTAACATCAGTTATCTTTATTTTGTTTGTTTTGATATTTTAGTTTGCTTTTTACTTCCTTCCCTCCCCGTTCATTGTAAATCATCCATAGATTTTTACAAAGCGCACCCCACAAGTGTATGAGGTATTATGGTATATGGAGGATTGAATGAAGACGAAGATGTTCTTTTGGTGAATGTGCAAATTGTAACGAGTAAATGGGTCGTGAATCGGATTAGCTAGATATAAGATAGTAAGCGACAACCAGCCTCAATTCACTCCCTTTTTAGACCTTGTGCCAAAATTGTATTTTTATGTACAATAGATCTAGACTAAGCTGTCAGCAGGTCTAAGCGAACGCTCTGATCGACGTAAAGGTGTCGCGACTTCATTTACTGGTCGAACTCTAATTGATGCAGTATTATTAGTTCTTGGGATTTCAGGATCTAATGTCTCTGAGTTTTGTGTGGGTACATCAATGTCTCTTATTTTAGGAGAACGGTTTTGTACAAGACTAGTCGAGGTGGGGCAAGATCTCGGAGTGATACGGTAGTTTCCTTGCAGTTTTGGAAACAAATTTGCAGTTAACGAGGATTGGCTTCTATAATTTCTGCCTCCCCTCCACAATAGTGTCGTACTTCGATTGTCTAACATGTCGTTTCAGAACCATTCCTGGTGTGGACAGCCATGTTAGAACAGAATACCCACTAGAGGTTTGGTTTGGTTTGGTTTGGACTGTTATACGGCATATCAACCTCAATGGGTTATGTAATGACGACAAAGTGTAGCATTTGTAGC